GGGGGGGGGAGGGGGGCATAGCCTCTTGCTTCAAAATTGAACAATCTGCGGGTGGCTCAGTCATGAGTAGACTCTCACCCGGTATTGGGATGCGGACGCGCAGCTGCTCAGGATTGCTGACCGAGGAAGCCACTTAAGTGGCGAGGTGTAACCCCGCAGCAGCCTTCGAGGGTTGCGTTGCGTGGAAACAAGGCAAGGCTTTACTCGCTGGGGACCTTCTTTGCGGTGCGACAGAGTCATGCAAAGACGTTCGCCGCTGCCTTGTGTCATTGCTCGAGATCACGATCATGAATCACGAATGCCTGCAACAAGCCTAGCTTCCGACATCGCTTATGGATCTGGATGATTCGGACGTGATGTGGTCAATCGAGCGGCAATGATGCACGAGACCCACCTCGAGCCGAGCTGTCGCTCGAGTAAAGAATCCTGGAGGAGAAGAAGGACTCATGAGCGTCTTGACACACAAGCCAATTGTTCGCGCGCGCGCGCGCGCGCGGTCGTCCGGTTGGCCCGTCGATAGATACCGAGCATTTCTCTCTTCGCAACATGAGTCTCAGGCAAAGTCACGGTCCAGATTTGTCAGTCATCGGCCGTCATGGATGGGGACTCCGTTGGTGTCGATGTCGCATTGCATGAAAGTTCATTGAAGGCCACTGATGGTGCCTTCAACACCCTTTCTGACGCGACTAAAGATGTCAGTGGCAAGGTCCCTGGCGCCACTTGCCGCTTCTCCAAGGTATTCCGGGTCGAGTAAGCTGGCAGCTGCCCCGGCCACGGAGCCATCCTGTCTGGATGCGTTGGGACCACCTCCCACGGCCAGCTGCACGGGACCGATGCTAAGATTGAGGGCCGGACCAGCGCTACCAAGGTTCGCGGGTGGTTTGGCAAAGCGGGCGTCGAAGCGTGAAGCGGCATCCTGGATCATGTCGAGGAATGACTTGCTGTTGTGGATAGAGCTGCCGCCGAGCAAGAATCGGGTGCCTGTACCGACAGTACCTCCGACAGCATTCTGTTGGGCAGCGCCCTGCTGTGCGCCACGCTGATGCTGAGCGTTGAGGAGCGCGATGGAGCGCGCCTCTTCGTATGTTGCGCCGCCAATGATGAAGAGGATGACATCTTGAGGACGCTCCGCTGGATTGATCGACGCCGAATGCTGACTGGAAGAGACGAGCGGGTAGCTGGTGTCTCTGAGTCTGCCTCGCATGAGGTTGTCCACCGTCTGGACGAGGTGCGGCGTGTGTTGCGTGTAGACATTCTCGACTCCCTTGAGGCCTTTGAGTGCGCTTCTGCCTCGAGAAAAGAAGTTTTCGTTTGCGAAAAGGTCGTCTTGGCGCTGTTCCGCTCCAGCGATGTTGAGCATGACAAAAACCAGTGCTGCTCGACTTTCCGGCACGCCGGCTTTGAGAAGGTCCTGCACGAGCTTTTGAATCTGGTTGCCGGGCAGTTTCTGATATCGAAGGGCATAAAGGATCGCCAAACGAATCTTTGCATCTGCAGAGCACTTGGAAGAATCGATCATTGTTTGGATCGCCTTGAGGTCGGATGCATGGCTCTCAACGGAGGCGAGGCTCTGTTCGAGTTCCGACACCTCCAGCAGCGAGTCCTTCTCCACCCGCCGACTGAGTTCTCCCAGAAGCGCAACGTGCTTGCTCACATTGCCGCCGAGCTTGCGGAATTCGGGGTATTCTTCGACGAAGCGCTTCATATCCGCGACCGTGTCGATGGTTGCGTTCGAGGCCGTTCTCGATTGGTATTCCAAGACGTACTTCTTGATGGAAGCACCGAGATCACCAAAGTTGTCGTACAGGTTTGCCGAGAAGAAAGGATCCTGATCGCCCGACAAGACGATTTCCTGTGACAATCGCGGCAATCACGGGAACGTTAGCGTGAGTCAGCGTGCGGCGGTCCAGTGAGACGAAGTTGTTCTTCGGAACCACTCACCTGTAGCTCTGGACGAACGCCATCTGCGTCGGCGAGGCTGACGCGCCCGTTTCGGATCCCAAGGACCTCGTGTACCATTGCCTGGTAGGTCCATTGCGTGAGCAAGGGCGTGACAGGATCATTCCTGCGGTCGAGGATGAGCAACAAGGGCGAATTCTCTGTCCGCCTAAAGTCAAACAGGCCGGCCTGATCCTGGTTGATCTGGTACTGCAAAGGGGACGTCGAGGTGAAGCGAACAGGGTTAGACAGGGTGTTCGAAGTACGCGGGACGTCACATACGATCGCGCTGGAGAGAGTCTATACGTACGGATAGCTCTTCGCCAAGCTTCTTGGCAAGACCGCTCATCCTCTCGTAACGAATGGCGGGCTTCTTCTTGAGACTGAGAAGGAGAGCAGAGAGGCCCTTGACGTGCTGGTCGAGTGCGCTCTGATCCCAAGTGGCAGGATTGTCGGCCCAGATTCGTGCGGGAGGGGTGTCGATGTTGAGGGAGAAGAGGTCGGCATTCACGGGCAAGTAGTCGGCGAAGAACTCCTGGATCTCCTTGACGACTTCGTGCTCATCAGCCTCTGCAAGAAGCTCGATGTCCTGTTTTGAGAGTGCATTTGTGAAGTAGAGCCAGTAGGACTTGTACCTGGGCTGGCGTAGCTCGTGTACGAGCGCAGTGATGGACTGGGGAGATGGACGGAGAAGGGCGATGCAGTTGAGATGGCGCATGCGGTCGCGATTGAGGTTGTCGACGCGATCTGTGAGATACACCTCGTGGCTTAGCAGCGAGGATTGAGTGAACGATGTTGAGATGATGGGTGTAGTATCTTGGTCGAGGAGGAGGACTTTGATGCCGGCGACCTCGGTGATCATGCGCTGGATGTAGGCCGACACGGCCTTTGTGACGTCCATGGTGCCAGTCGACGGGCGCGTTAGAGGACGCAGCTATGGGCCGGCAGGAGGTTGGACTGATTGCTTCGTCGGTTGAGCTGATCAGAGGCCCATTGATGGCGGATGTGCGATAGTTCAGAATCAAGTGCGGACGAGGATCGGCCGAGGTGAGGGCGTGGAGGGCGTGGAGGGCGTGAAGGATGCCTGGCCGAAGGGGACGAACGCATGTGGGACGTGCGGCGTGATGCAGGCACAGCAAGCCGAGTTCCGAATTTCTGGTAGGCCTGCGAGTCTAAAGAGATGCATGCGTTGGGGCTGGATCTTCTGGTTGCCGCCCACTAGCTTTGTTGCCATCACGCTATCACCACGCTCGCGAAGTGTCCCGTCGCATCAGCTGGCTGTATCGCGGAAAACGACTGACCGTTGCCATGCCGCCCACGATCAGCCATGTGGCGGCTTACTCTCCCAATGAATACATCCAGACCGCTCTGACGGGCAACAAGGTGTCGAGAAAGGCAACCATTCTGGGATCGCAAAACATCATCCTGGGAGGCAAATGCATCATCCAGCACGGAGCCATCATTCGAGGCGACTTGCGTCGAATTGTCGCCTCCTCGACCTCAAGCTCCACCGGCTCTGGGCAGCAGACGCAGTCGGTAGCGATCTTCATCGGGCGGTATTGCCTGTTGGCTGAATCGAGCGTCATCCGACCTCCATACAAGACGTATAAAGGGTGAGTAGCATTCGGATGTGGAGTGCCGACGACGTAAGATCCAGGTCTCGTAGCTGACGCTTCTGTGACAATGGGTCTGCACACTCGTCGATGGATCTGGCAGTGTCTTTTCGTATTATCCGATGAAGGTGGGCGATCATGTGTCGGTGGGGGCCAACACGGTGCTCGAGGCGGCTTCGGTGGGCTCGCACGTCGAGATCGGCGCCAATTGTATCGTCGGACGCTTTGTGATCATCAAGGACTGCGCGAGGATTCTGGACGGCAGTGTGGTGGCGCCGAATACGGTGGTGCCGTCGTTTTCCATCTTTGCAGGCAGTCCGGCAACGCAGATCGGCGAGCTCCCCGAGACGTTCTCCGAGAGCTGCGAGGCCAAGATGAAGGACTTCTACCAGCGCTTCCGGCCTACTAGCGAGAGGTGATGCCCGCCGAAGCTCTTCACGCTCAATGCTCAGCTCCCGACATGCGCATGCGCAGCTAGCTTGGTGTTGTCTGTTGCTCCACGCAGCGGGCGAACGAGCGAGCGAGCGGTTATTTCTCGACGCGTCGGAGGCGCCGCCAAACCTCCACCTGCAGATCGCTGGAAAGCAGAACCAACACTTTGTGTGCCGGTTTTCACGCTCCTACTCCCATCGACCATTGTGCGCGTCCATCGGCCTCCTTCCGAATCACGACTCACTGCAGACGCAACGCTCCCGCATCGCCGCGATGAGGTCCGCACGATTCAATTTGCTGATCGATCTCAATGGCACTTGCCACATCGGAGACACGCCGACACTGGGAGCGGTCCAGGCAATCCAGAGGTTGCGCGCCGTGCAGCAACAGCAGCCGGACCGCGTCAAGATCCGCTTCTGCAGCAACACGAGCAAGGAGTCGTCGTCGTCCCTCTTGTCGCGCCTGCGTCGCGTCGGTCTGGGCGTCGAGCTTGTCGGCAGCTCCGATGTCTTCACCAGCCTCGATGCGGCGTATCGGCTGGTGGCGCGTCAGAAGCTCCGACCGCTGTTGCTCCTCAGTCAATCGGCTCAGACTGCTTTCCGAGGCGATGACGCGCTTGCCCGAGACTGCTTCTTCGCCCACGCCGACCTCGATCCGGAGAGGCTCGACGCGCAGAACGCAGCAAAGCTTCGCTCGTGCGACGCCGTGGTCTTGGGCCTTTGCCCCGAGCTCATGACGAGCAAGTGGCTGGATGAAGCGTTCAGGCTTCTAGCAGGCGAGTACGATGCGAAGCAAAGGGTGGCTCTCATCACGACGCATCGCGGTACGTTCAAGTCCATGTCGGGCGCTTGCAATGATCCAGTGATTCCCAGTCTGACAAGCAGCTCTCCGGATGACCTCTGCTTCCGCCACCGTTTGAAAAGCACTCTATCATCGCCCGACCCAGGATGGCCCGCTCTCGCTCGGGCCTGGCGCTTTCGTGGCGGCGCTAGAGGCTGCGTCAGGTCGCCGAGCTAGCGAGACGATCGTGTGTGGCAAACCGCAGCCAGCGTTTCTGCAAGAGTGCGTTGCGGGCATGATCGGTGTCGACGAGTCTATGAGCGACTTTACAAACATTATTGTGCGTACCCGCGTACCAGATCGATCAGCGTGCAGAGACGGAAGCTGACAAGTACCTTGGGCGCAATTTGCTTGGCATGGCGTTCCGGATCGACTAGGTGGGCGACGATATCGTAGCCGACCTCGGCCAAGGAACCTGGCAGCTCGGACTGCGCCGGGTGCTGGGTGAGTTGCTCAGTAGCATGCCTCTCGATGTTTGTCTGCTGCCGATGCTGATGCGTCACGGTCCGATCCTTGCCTTGTCAAACTGCCACATGGATCGCCGCAACAGTGCGCACGGGCAAGTACAGAAACGGCGACGAGAGTCGTGGAGACAGATTCGCCGACGAGACGTACGACTCGCTTGCGTCATGGATAGATCATTTCATCGCCAACGATCTCAACCCAAAGTAGAACGCTCGCAGCATTCCCGCATGGCATGGTACAACGATTGATCATCGGGTAGCGATGGGAGCGGATAAGAAGATCCTCGGAAACATCCGCCAATCGACGCCGTCACTCGGATATTCGGAAGGCAGAGCTTGTTGACGGATGTCTCCGTGTTGAATCCTCGCTCCAGTAGGGGTCACTGCTATTCAGGGTCCACACTTGGCGCCGCCGCGTGCACTCATGAAGGTGGAATTCGAGTTTGATTTTCCCAACTAGCCGTCTGCAGGATCTGCATGGCGGATTTGGCCGGTCCGGCTCTCGGACCTGAACCCTGCGAAAAGCGAGCATCGTTCGGGCTGCTCGGCGTCCGCAGATACACTTCGGAATGACCGGCACCATCTGGCAGTCGAGGGCAACACGACGAGCTAAAATCCTGAATCCGATTGCTTGGCTGATGGTTCCGATCGGGCGACAGGATCAATCTGGGAGAGACGAAAGCACGCATCGCATTTAGAAGAGCGCT